TGGAAGAATTATGACTGGACTGTAGCTGTGATGCCAAGGGGTGGGGAATGGGCTATTCTATATATCAATTGCTTTTCGCGCCGAAATAATCAGATTTCGCTTCGCTATGCCTTTAATCATTTTTAATTAGTAAAAGTACACTTGATTTCCACACATGGAGTCTTGTGGTCTTTCTTTCCTAATTAATTAATGGAGAGGTGCTGACAATTGCAATCATGACTATTTTTTCCTGGATTATTTAATAATAAATACCATGTTTCCCCGAAAATAAGATAGGGTCTTATTTTCTTTTGACACCCGAAATAAGCACTTGGCCTTATTTTTGGAGAGGTCTTATTATTTTTGAGGTGCAGGAGGCAGCAAGCAGGGCCGCCTCATGGCTGCTGCTGTGTTGCAATATTTTCAGGGGGGGGGTATTTGGGGGGAGGGCTTATTTTAGCACATGCACTCAAAAGCCTGATGGGGCTTATTATCTGGGGAGGTCTTATTTTCAGGGAAACAGGTTACTAAAACCAGGAATAGAGACGTTGGGAGGATCACCACCATTATAATCTCATTTGTAATTTTTCTTTGAATGTCTACATATAGAAACATTTTCAAAGTTTCTAAAGAGACATTTCTAGTCAGCTGAGAAATGTTTCAATTGCTTTTTTGCAATCAGTTTCCAACTGCTAAATTCCTTTATATGGCAACCAATCTAAAATGTTGCCCTTGGTTATCTGGCAAAAAAAAGACATAAAAGAAGTTATGAATCAGAAGCAATGGTCAATTCCAAACATTTCTTGCAAATGGAAAGGGAAAATTTGGAGCCAAAGCTGAAACTGATTTCTAAGAAGCAGACATGTTGACATTATGGACTATACAATTACTATATATTCTTGGCAGCATGAATCCTTTACTTCATAACCCAAGTGAAGGTTAAATCTCATGGGTGTCCTTGCTATCTAATTAGTTGGCAATGATCCATCTGTGTTACTCTTTGCATTTGCAACGTTCCACTGGGGAAAAGCAAGGATGAAATGTCTACTCTTATTTCAATAGCCTGCCCAGTCAGATTAATAAATCATCAAGTCAAAAATCATCATTTCTCCCACAGGGAAAATGGGTTAATTGCTTCTCTATACACAAAACTGAGCATTCACATGCGTATATTGATACTTGCGTATCAATATAATTGTTTTGATTTCTTAGATTGCACCTGACTGGATGTCAAATGTAGGGATTTCTCATGTCCAGAAGAACATGACACTTCCCATGTCAGCTGTGTAGATTGAAGATGGAATATACATCAAGCCTATCCACCATTAATAGAGGCTGGCCATGAGCCATAGCCTGCAATCTCAGAACCATCAAAGGGTCCATTAAGATACTTCTTTTGTTTGATTGGAGACCAGAGAACTTAATACCAAGACCATAAACCTTGTCATTTATGTAATGTTGTGGGATTAAAAAAAAATTACTACTGGTTCTGTGGGCATGGCTTGGTGGGGTGGCATGGCTTGGCGGGGGTGGCTTGGTGGGAGTGGCAGGGGAAGGATACTGTAAAATCTCCATTCCCACCCCATTCCAGGGGAAGGATATTGCAAAATCCCAATTTCCTCCCAATCAGCTGGGGTGCAGAAGGCAGAAAATAGATGGGGGCGAGGGCAGTCAGAGGTAGCATTTACCAGTTCTCTGAACTACTCAAAATTTCTGCTACCGGTTCTCCAGAATTGGTCAGAACCTGGCCACAGAACCAGTAGTAAAAAAAATTGAATCCCACCACTGGGATGGATGGTTTATTTCTGGCTCATGACAGCTTCATAGCTACTCAGATATAATGAATTCAATATGGCTTTGGCAAATATTAATTTAACAATTGCATGAAAATGTACTTTTAACAGTACCAGATGTTTCCTAAATGGTATACTAGCCATTGTCCTTAGAAAAGATCACATTGTTGAACCTGATTTACCCAAACAAACATTATATGTTATTGTGAATGTTTTGTGCAGATTCTGGATCCAAGAATTACATTGTAAAAACCTGAAGGGTAATTGCACTCTAAGCTGCGTATTAGCTCAGAATGTTTAAATCAGGTCAGTGGATTTACAAATGGCGACCAAAGGCCACAATTCTTCATACACTTACCTTGGATTAAATCTCAGTGACAAGGACAGATGTAAAACATATATATAAACATCCCTTCAGAAAGTTTTAATGACATGCCCTAATACTTCTCTTCTTATTCAGGAGGTAAGTTTAAGTGCTCCTGTAAATTTAATTTACAGGACATTGAGAGACGTTAAATAAAAAAGCCAGTTTGTGTAGTAATTCTTGGTATTGGACTAAAAATCCAGGTTCAAGTCCATCCTCAACCATAGAAAGAGCCTGGGCATTCTCCTTCAGCTCAACCTTATATAGAAACTAATGTGGAAATATGAAATTTGTGAAGTGACATCTGTTCCTTAAACCAATATCTGTTGGTGAACTTGGAAATCTTTGAGCTCTTAAACAGGCAGACTATATCTATGGGACATCTTACTATTGCTTTAAAATAATGTGCATCGTTCTAGTGGCCCAATCTACAAAATGACTGCTGCTCCATCTAGATCAGGGCTGTCAAACTCCCAGCCCATGTGCGGGATGCATCATGCACTGGTCATGCCCACGCCCAGTTTAGCAAGGGGGGTCCCGATACGTCAGGTGATGCCACCGTGATGACATAAGTTTGACACCCCAGATCTAGATCAACATTATCCATTGAAGCTAGCAAAAAAAGCTTTCTAGGATTTTCCAGACAGGGATAGAACTGTCAAGAATTTTGTCTGGGACCTCCTGTCAATGAGCCTCAATGTCTCTCTCTGTAACAGTCCCATTGCAATTGCTATTATAAAACTTTATATCATATCAGATTTGCTCTTCTCTAGATTTGCTCATTTTGTGTGTTTTAATCCAGCTTTCCAGAAGAACTACTTCATTCACTGTTGCTGTTGTTGTTTTAAATCACTGCCACTAAAAGTGTAGATGCTCATTTGTAAGGGATTACGTGTATTTTTAATGAGGAATCCTATATGTCACTGTTGAACCATGAGAGATACATAGCATTCTGTCTTCTGCATAGCAGGTAGGAATAACAAGAGGAAGATGTGTGGTGGATGATGAGAGCATCAAAGTGTGGAAGATTTTGTTGGCTGTCTTGTGTCATTTTCTGCTGGAGATTTTCTGGAGAAGATAAACTATCTGGTGATGTACAAATCATCATTTTTTTAAAAAAAATCACTTTATTTTCATTTCAGTGGGCAATTTGCTGCATATTTTAATGGATTAAAAAATCAGTTGAAACTGTCATTGTCCCTTATATTTCCATTTCCTAACATACAGAGCCTCATATATCTATATAAGAATCAGTGTCTTGTAGTGGTTCAGGTGCTGGACTAGAAATGGAGAGACTCAGGTGGTAGTCCTCACTTGAAACAAAAACCAAATGTCTGATTTCGGGCCAATGCTCTCTCTCAGCCTTCATCTGGGAAGTTAAAATATATTTATCTACTAACTAGATAAATGTTGACAGCTCAACACTTCGAAAACCCACCTGATGGAATGAACTCCCATCAATTTGTCCCAGCTCTTGCCAACCTAGCAGTTTGAAAGCATACAAAGGCAAGTAGATAAATAGGTACCACTTCAATAGGAAAATAACAGGTGTCCACTAAGCAACAGTGATATCAGATAATCCTATCAACCTGTAAGCCCCTTGGTAGATGCTTCTGACATGAAAGTTAGTAGTAGTAGTCTACTAACTAGGACTGCACTGGCATTACAGATGTATACGAGTCATTTAAAATTATACATTTCCTTGCCTTTTTTCCTTGGTGTATAATGTTTAATATCTCTGTAATCTGTACATATATCTACCACCAATGTATCCAACTTTCAGTAATATAACTTGTGTAGTTTTCCATTGGTTTAAACAACACACACAAAATCAGATTTCGTATGTTATGAGTGTCTATGCTTCTGTACAGTCCAACAGGATTGAAATGATTTATTTTGCTCCCCAAAAATTCTGTGGGACCATTCTTCTCGAATAACAAGGATTATTTAATTATGGAGAATGTTTTCAGCTACTTCATAGATGCCACATAAGTTTCATGAGTTGTACTGATTGGTTCCAAATCACTGTAATATATATAGATGCAATCAAAAGTTCACTCAAAATCATGAAGGATAATTTAGTGTATTATTGTCACATTGAGGTTTTTGGGTGTAATGAGGCCACCGGTGGCTTATATGGAACTGTTCAACCTTCTCAACCCATGTGGTTATATACTAGTCTTGAACTGTGGTATGGCCCTAAAGCTGACCAACAAAAGAAGGCTAGGATAGTGAGGTTGTGGTGGACAACAAGTTGGATGGATCTCATAAAGTGACCAGTTGGGTATTTCAAAAATAGATAGCAAAATGGACAAACATTTGCAAGGAACGCTTAAATTTGGACCCTTGCATTTAATAGAAAGTTATACCTGCTGATATAACTGGCATCCTCTGTTCTATGCTTCTGTGAGAATCAAGCAGGAAGCCAAGAAAGTAGAGAGTTCTGCTTCTCTCTAAGCTTACACTAAGAATTTAGTCCAGAATCAACAGATTTAAAGGAACATGAAAGGCATACTAGTTTTTCTGCAGCACAAAGTTAGGAACGCCTTTGGCTATCTATAGCGGCACCAGAGTTCAGTGCAGGCTAACCATGATATGAGTTCTATGAAACACAATGTTGAACTATCTTCCCCTATCTGACACTCTGCATATTTCTAATCACAATTTACATATTCTCCAACCAGAAAGATGAGAGATCAGAAAATGCAATACACCACATCTGGAGAGAATCTGGCTGGAGAAGACTTCATAAGGAGTAAAACATCTGATTGCTGAGGCCAGTATCTTGAGATTGAAGCTGCAGACTCCTTCAGAGACTTACAACACCAGTGCTTTGTTGTTTCTCACTTTAATTAAACCCAAACAATATGTTGTACCTTGTCGTGCCAAATCAATCCACAAAGTGACTTCTTGCTGTGCTTTCAGTGGTTCTAATGAGTTTCTGTCTTCGGAAAGGCTTAGCTAGCATTGCTTCCCACACAGTTTTGCTGAACAAACACCTGTTAAAATGAATCAAGGGAGGAGGAAGAGAGGAAAGAGGGAAAGGAGAGTTAGAGAAAGTAAAGTTTACAAGCACCTTAAAGCAAACTTTTTTGGGGGGTAGGGGTGGAATATCCTGAAAGTATTTGCTATCCTAAACCTTGCTTACTGCTTACTTGTGTACTAGGAAAGGGGAAAAGGTCATATCCAAGGTTATTGATGATATCTTTAAGAGAAGACAAATCATGTTGATCAGTGATAGATCAGTAAATGTATGCAAGGCAAAACTATAAATCAGATATCCTTGACTGTAAGTATCATTTTTTTTAGTTTGCTAGGCTACTGATGACAACCAAAGACTCTAATTAAAAAAAAGAAATTATTGAATTGCAAGCTAAACCTTGTGGTTTATTTTTGGGTCAGTTCGGTTGACATATTTGAGATAAGTTTCACCATTACAAGAGAAATGATATCTTTTGAGATGTTTCTGATCCATCTAACTATAAGAGGGGACAGCTATAGTAGAGCTTAGTGCTTTTGCTTTGTCAGCAGTCAGTCAGTGTTGTGTGTATTGTATCAGTCTATTCTGTTTAATTTATGGCATAAAACAAACCATATGAAAATTCATTGTTGTGGGTGCCCTTAAGAATGAAGAAGTCCGATAAGTTGCTAAACTAGAATTATAACTTTATTAACCTACAAAGAGGAATTTTATTTTGTCTCAGAAATGTTGTAACTCTCTTCATAAGCTTCATGCAGCCCTTTGTCTTAGGACATCAACAAGACCAGTCTTTTAACCCAGTTACATATTCATATATCAAGGTAGGTCTTTCTGAGATGGAAGCTTTAAAATTCAAGGGCCACTCAGTCAGGCACCCAACACGTTTTTTTCTTTTCGTCCTTGAAAGACATGTCACTTTAGACTTGTCTAGTTCATTTTTCCAGTTTGTATACCTTCTATTTCAAAATGGTTCTTGGCAAATTTATAGTTGAAATACATAAATGTTGAAAAAGCAGCTTCATAAATTTCATAAAGGCTCTACAAAAGCTGGATAAAATGGCAAATGGTAACAAGGAAGATTCTGGTTTCAAGGAAAATGCAATTCCCTTTTTAAAAAAGACAAAATTTACTACTGATTTAAACAAATCCTGTGTTTAAACCAAGGACATAAGCTTATGCTCCTTATTCCACTGTTCTTATCCCACTTATACCAACCAACCTATCTTATTGAAACATTTATTGCTCATCAAATGTTCAGTCTTTCCTTCAAAGAAACTCAAGATGGATGGATAGATGGATGGATGGATGGATGGATGGATGGATGGATGGATGGATAGATGGATGGCACCTTCAGCTGATGTTGGTGCTCCAGCTGATTTTGGTGCTCCATGACACCAAAGATTACAATCAGCAATGCCCATTCTGAATTTTTTTTCCTGGGCAGGAGAGTCAATACTGATTAGAGGGGAAGGAAAAATTTGATTAGTTTGCTTTTGAATATGTATCTAACTAATAACATATTTTCAGATTGATACAGAAATGAAAAATTAGTTATTCAGAACTGGTACATTGGGGTATTTTTTTCAAAGCACTTTGCAATTTAAGAAATAAAGCTTTGTACATTGGGCAAATATTTAGGGAAATGTGTACTCTAATGCAGATAAGCTGGTGCAACTTTTTAACAAAAACATTTAGTTTTTACAAACCAAACTTGATAAATTATACAAAGACAAGAAACCTGGAAATATGGTTTTAGTGCAAAAGTTCTACTACATCATCCAATTGCAACCAACATCTTAAACACCAGGTCAAGATTGGGATACAAGCTGTTCACTTCCTCTTGGGAACAGCCACACTGGAATTATTTTCTAAGCGGTTTTCGTAATGCTTCCTAAATCTTAATTTCAGATAGCATGCGATAGTAAACTCCCCATCATTCTGAGCAGGGTCATTTATGGGGGAGAAGAAGGAAGTGGTGTGCAAAATTAGAAAAGGCAGCTGCAACCATATAATTAATGCATCCATATTGACTTTTAAATACCCCATTACCCCAACAGATGGCCCAGCATCTGAAACTCTTGAAAAGTAATGCTGGTCAGCAAATAATGCTTGTCTAAATAGACCAACATCTCACAGGCATAAAATAGACACACATATTTCTAACTTTTTTTGATAACAGAAGTACATTTTTTTCCATCTGAATTCTCCCAAGTTTCCATAGTCAAGGCTTCTTCCCCGCCTATTCTAGCAACCGTCCCCAATCTTTTTGGCACCAGGGACCAGTTTCATGGAAGACAATTTTTCCATGTACTGTAGTGGGGAAAGCAGTTTACAGTAGGGTTCTCACTCCTACCAGGATGTAATGCCTGACGATCTGAGGTGAGGCGAGGCAATGACGCTAGCACTGGGAAGCAGTTGCAAATACAAATGAAACTTCACTTGCTCATCTGCCACTCATCTCCAGCTCTGCAGCCATGTTCCTAAATTCCCTGACCAAGGGATGGGGGACCTCTGTATTCTAGGATCTTGTATTTTGCAATAGATTGCTATGTGCAATTTCTGGCATGCTTCTAAAATTATTCCTATTTCTATAGCCATAGCTTTTGCAGTTCATTGGCAGTATCTGTTCTGGTCTCAGATTAAGCAAAAGGCTTTTGGAGTGGAAGTAAAGGAAAGGATTGTCAATCCAGGATTCATGATTCCAAGCTAGTAAACAGTCTCAGCCAGTGTGGAACAGCTGCAGTTGCTTCCCCCCTCCCCCCCTCCCCATTGCCTTCCTGTTCATAACATCCAACCTATTTACAATGCAACACATCTGATCAATGGAAGCTGGTTGGGAGAGTGGATTATATATCTAGGCGAGAATGATCAGGAAGGGCAATCACTGATATCACAGTCTAGGCTAAAAGGACATTAAAAAATATGAATATAGCCCAGCTCTAAAGCCAGGAAGTGGAGTTTAGGGAGATCGGGAGGTTTCCCATGCTTCCTCAGGCAAGACTGAGAAAAACGCAGCTTCTTCAGGTGGTGGAAATTTCAGCCATCTAGCTAAAGCTTGATGGACTGCTCCTCACCTTTAAAAATCTAGCCTTTGCTGGGTAGTTTTGGTGCTATTCTGATTATGATTTTGGAACTAAAGTCAAGGGCTGGATTGCATGTTCAATGCAAGAAAAGCTTCTTGACTTGAAACACGCAAATCATGAACTCATTAAAATTTCGCTTGCTCGGAAAACCCTGAGAAACCAGCAGTCAGAGGTTTATGTTTTGAATTTGTAAAAGGTACTTTTAGATCTCTCCACAAAAGACAATATGGACTGAATAAGAAGTCTGGCTTGCCAAACATGAAAACCAAGGAGCTAAGGTCATGCACAAAAGGGAGAGAGAATTAAATCAGTGTGATGAATGGGATATTCCTTAATGATGAATAGAATGTTTTATGACATCTCTACAGCCAAAGAGGTGCTTCAAAAATCTGAAGAGCTAAGAGAATGGAAAATAGGGGTGTGGGTTGTTGATAAACTTATGATCAGTGGGTTTCATTTGGTAGAAGCCACCATCTGTGTGGAATGGTTCCAAAGTAATTACTCGCTCTTTTTATTCTAGCTACTCTTTTTCAGGGCTAGTAATTTTTTTTGGCTTGGGGTTTGGATTTAGTTCCTTGGCTTCAGCCACAAAGGGTAGTTCATTCTCTTGAAGAACGTTACAGGGAAACAAAGCCATTGCTGTGTATCTAGTCTTGAAGAGGGCAGCTCTGAGAATGAATGAGGAAAGATTTGCCAAATCAATAGGCTCGTGAACTCTTCAACCTGAAACTTATTGATTGAGAAGTAACTCCCATTGATTTTAATAGCACCACTTAAATGAGGTTAGGAGATCAGTAAGCAGGAAAATGTTCCCTATACATAATTAATATCAATTGCAAAGAGCCTTGGATGTGACATCACAATCTATCATCTGAAGACTTGGAAAAGTCTATGAAACCCTTCCAAAGTGATTAACACATATTTAATACATATTTAATACAGTAAAGCCCCTTATATTTTTAGGAGACGTTCTGGTCTTCTCGTTTAACGCTCCAAGATATGATATGGTCCAATGGCACTTTGCCAGATGCATTAGACCAAAGTTCCTCCTAATCCACCCGCCCATCACCACTGCTTGCAATAATGGTCTGCCACTTATCTAAAGCAAATTGTCTTGTTATTGTCCCTGCAGCTAATATTGGGAGGAATCTTGCCTCCATAGGCAAATTCTCATTGTATTACCCCATCCTAGAGCTGTTGGTAGGGTTGATTGAATAGCTTTATGCAGCCATGCTGATGCTATGCAAAAAAAACAATAATCCCAAACTCATAATGTATTTTCTCTCAACATGCCATTACCTCCCAGCAGAGTTTGACTGTATTACGTGCACAATCACAATACCCAGCAAAGTTGCTTGTTCTTTACGATTGGTAGTCAACATGAATTTCCTTCCAAACTGACTCCTAAGAAGGTTCTTCAATAAACCATGACAGGGCATGCTGGATAGTCTCCTACTATTTCTGAATGTGCTGACTATTCAAAGGAAACTTAATTATTCCAATCAGAACATGGACAAAATAAGTATGTGGGCAGCACATTTCCACATTCTAAATTCTTCCATCAGTTGGTTCTTGGAAAGGAGCGGGTTGAATCCAGGTGTTATTTCCCTATCTTTGCTGCTGGAATACTAGATACCAGCTTTAAAGAAATGCATTGAGCTGGCAAATGAGCTTAGAGAAAAACCATTCAGCACCTAATTTTGCATGCAGCTGCTCATTCAGGTAATGAATGGTTCCTAGCTGGATCAGTTGCGTTCCTAGCTGGATCAGACCAAAATCTTCATTTTTGAATATAATATACTATTTTTAATTCATCGTTTGAAATTGGATAGGGGAGCCTAATTGATATTACAGTCTTCTGGACTAGACTTTTTCTCCTATCTTCTGTAGCATTTGGTTGACTTTGATGGTTCGTTTGCAGTGGGAATTAGA